ATCATCTCCTGGGGCTCGATGTATTTTTCGTCACCCGTCCAGACAAGAAAAATATGTCTTCAGCGTAAGCTGTTTGTCCTCTTGAATCTTAAAAACGTTTTTTTACGATTAGGCATCACAGCCAAGGACGCAACCTGCAAAATTGTGCTCAATTTTTTTTCGATAAAAGTGAATTAATTCAATCTATGGTTTTGAAATAAAGAGACAAAGAAATTAGACTAATAACGCCTTAACATAATGGATAAACTTGCTATGAAATTTGTACAGGAAGAAACGATGAAAAAGATAGATAAGAATATATCTATAGGTAGTGAGTATCAATGGCAGCATACATTGATTTGATAAGCGAGAATTGCCAGTAAATAAGGCAAAAGAGAAGGAAGAATTTCACTCATAAAAGAATGGATCTATAGAATCATTGATAGTCGTGGTATCGAGATAAGGTGATAGATAAATGGTTAGATAGATTGGCAAAATGGTCCAAGCTCATCAGTAAATGAAGTTCGTGAGTAGTACATGAATCCTTTCACGAAATACATGGAAGGTTGGGCTGCCATAATACACAACGAGAAGATGAGTGAGAAAAATGAAAGGGAAGAAAAATAATACCTGCGATATCTTCCTTCACTTTATGAGAGGATCTCGAAATACGAGAGAATGGGAATTGTGAAGACGGGTGAATGGATTTGCTTAGAAGGAAACAAAAAGCGTCTCATTCGCTGAATATTTTAATCCAGTTTCAGTTAAATTTTCAAGGGAAGCACGGGTGGCGTGGTGAGAGCGCTCACGCCTCTTATCAATGCGAGCCGGAGCCTCCGGCTAGTTGTTCTCTCCCTCTCCAGTGCTTCGCAAGGTTTTTCTCCTGCTTTTCTCCCTCCACAAAATCAACTCATAAATTATAATTCAATCCAATGAAGGAGGGCCACAATTTTTTTCAGCCATTGGCTATTAATTTTTACGGTTTTATGCGAATAGAAATTCGAACCAAAATAGTTGTTGGACCCGGAAAAAGACCCCGATGGTTGTGACAGAAAGAACAACATTTTATCCTAGTTCCGTAAACGTTTATCTATGACCGAATCAACTCTAGCATTGATTTATTATTTGCTTTTAGAAGTTGACAAAATCTTTTTATCAAAGATTAGGAAATTTCTAGTATATGTGATATTGAGGTTGTTGAGTAAGAGTGGTTTTATATACACGGATCTTTTAAGTCTTGTGTGACAAATCGAAATACTTTTAAATTACTTACAAATTGAATTGAATGATTTTGTCGGAAAAGGGGGAAGAAGAAAGATCTTATCGAACATAAAAATTACCGATGATTTATCATGAACTGTCAAGCCCCATAACAAACATCTTCACGAACTTGAACACCTTGCTCGATTGACAAAAACTAAAATCAAAGCCAGAAACTATCAGCCGGTCTAATCTTATAGAGTCTTTAAAATGGATTTCTGTGTTTGGGGAGAATTACTCTCCTAATACAAATCTCCCAAAAGTCTAATTAAATAGTCGAAAAGTAATCAGGGACTTCTTCGTATGTTTGCTTGTAGCCTCAAAACGTTCATCAATCTTTCTTTTTGCACGCTATGTAATAATCATTGCGTCAATGCCACCTTTCTTAGTACAAAACAAAAAACATATTACGGAGAAGGGGAACGGGTAAAAATATAAATCAACTTGGCAACGAATATAAATGTACTGTGTTTTGGGGCGTAGGTTTGTCGTGACAGTATTTTGGGCATCGATTGATTTTGTTTTCCTTTGCTTTATTCATGACTTTCTTTGTTAAGTTAAATACAGTTGCGTATACCGAAATGGCAATGACTCCAGACAGACTGTCGAGCCGGCACTAGCTATGATTCTAACTACGAAGCGTGGTTCTATTACAATCACTTTATTCTCTAATATGTTTCTGACGGAGAATTTGTGAACTGAGTACCCCCAACTGCTTTCCACAAGAAATCCCCCGACGCCGACAAAATCTGTGCAAAAAACTTCCTATAATTTTAACAACTATCTCTTAGTTTTTCATATTTCTCATATTTCCGTAAACGAGAAGTATCTTCCCAGGGTAAGGTGATCAGTTTAGGAGCAATAAAATTAATAAAGAGCTGTAAATTGTCAGTATTTTAGACGGCTTTTAGGCCTCAGTATACCAATCAAAATTGGACATCAATTTGGATAACAATATCTGTTTAGTTTTTCTAGTCATAGGTATACATATGTACTTGAATTACCACAAAATATGCCAATGTTACTGTGTACGTAAAGGACATTAAACAAGTCCTGTCGCACAGCCCATCAAGCCTTATTAATCTTCATAAGTGCTCGCTTTGAGGAACCGCCGACAAATTAACGGTAAGTTTACATTTTGCCGAATTCACTGCACGCAGTCTTTCACAAACAAAATCTGGCGAAATTCCCCGTCCAGTTCATGGAAGATCCATGCAATGGCTTGGGTGTAATTCATACGGTATATTACTGCGTTAAGAAGCGTTCATATGTAAAAAATATCGGGTGGTAAAAGTTTTAGCTTGCCTCGAGATCTGAAACCCCAACAACAACAAAAAAAACACAAACTTTTTTTTAACAGGGAATTCAGTTTCACAGCGTTCATCAGCAGGTGCGGGGAAAAAACCTAAAACAACGCTTTTAAAAGATGTCATTAATCTACATTGTAAGACGGTAGAGATAGTTCAAAACTTGTCATTCACATCCTCATTGTTTTTTAAATAAGAAAAATCCTGACTATCCTAGAGAATTGCCAAAAACTCTCTTGAAGGCAATCAGATAGGCAAACAAGACTCACATTGACTTGTCAAGCCTCGAAGACCTCAAGAATCACTCAGTACGAATTTCTAAATTCCCTTACATCAGGAAGGAATTATTTGGATTTAGTTACATTGATAAGACGGTACTAATAATAAAGGATTTCAATGCCTTGAAGCATCTAGGCAACCCCAAAGGCTTACAATATCACTTCCCTTTAGACACAATTACTCCCTCTGTGATCACAAATAATAATTGATGCTTTTTGAGTTGAAGTTATATGTTTTTGTCGTCATTATCCTTCACCCGTCTGTTTGTTTTTCGTTTCTCACGCGAATCGACATTAACGAACTGGAGCCAGGATTTGTGAAGGGTGGCTGTTCTTCATATTCTGACGAAAAGACGCTTCAAAACGTTAAGCAAATACACCCTTATACTGTAAAAAGATATCAAATAAAGAAACCAGAAACACATTGACGACGTTTGAGTGCTTACTTCAGTGTAGTGTTAGTTGTTGTTAACAAAATTAGTTGAACTCCAGCCAAATGGGTCTCAGTATGTGGATTTTTTTTTCTCTCGACAAGAAATATTATACTTTCTATTGCATGGAAATAAAAGATGAAATATGATACAATAAAAATGATTGAATTTGAGCGTGAAGCAAGTGGTTCGGGTTTTAAACTGTGAGGCGAAAACTGAGAACTAAAAACCAATTCTGTAAAGTGATTACCAGCAGAAAACGTCAATTGATTCAGACATGTTTGAAAGAAAAGCAAGACGAGCGATCGTTTCTCGAGGAGTTCTGATGGATGTAGGCCATCAGGGTCATTAGAGAAAGTTTTAGTAGCTAAATACATTTTAGCAAAGTGAAATGACCGACTGGTAAAGTGGATGGACAAGCTGTTGGCCGAGGGATGAAAATGAATATTCTAGGATTACAGTGGATTCTGATTGGATTTGACAAAGTACTTAGTATTTGTAACATTTCGCATTTAACCGATGCTAGCAGCAATATCAGGCCTAGTCAACAAATCATTCAAAAATAGCCCCTATTAAAATGCCCGTGTCTAACGAGTTCCTAAGCAGTAATTGCAAGTAAAGCACTTGGCTGTTAACTTGTCTCTTCCTCTCCACCAGACTGTGAATAAAGTTTTATATTGCGAAAAAAACCACTTAGAAATCCCTAAACCTCATAAATATTTCAGGTCGTAGAAGCAGCGCTAATGGTAGCTATTTGGTGAATTTGATAAATACCATAATGTGAGAATTATCAGTTGATTCAATGAAATAATGACATTCCTTTGCCTTGTTTGCTTTCTAAATTAATCAAGAAAAACTTTCTTTTTCTTACCAGCGTTAACTAAGGACTCAACAAACACCTTTGAATCAATTGAATTGTCTCAGTGTTGTTTTTTAACCACGTTTGTCGGTTCCACGTTTAACCAGGTTAAAGAATGGGTTGATTTCATGGGAGGGACTTTATAATCGTACAAACGAACAAAAGATAGTATTCTACAAAGTAAAAACTTCATGTCTAGAAATCTTTACTTTTTTTGAAAACCCTAAAGGAATTACTTTTGAACACCACCCATGTTATCCAAACACTTCAAATTTAAAACCAATTTGTTAAAAAAATGTGGTTACCAACGGATATTCTCTCGCTGTAAACAAACTAGAAGATACTGATGGAAAATGAATAAAACTCAAAGGAATTGCCCCTAACGATCAAAGACAACTTAACTGAGAGGTTTTGGTACCGAGGTTTAGTCTTGTGTATTAAGAGGTGTATTGTTGAACAAGTCTTTAAGAACGAAGAGGTTTGATTTAAGAAATATTGACCACAGAGAATCAACAAGGACAATGAACTCTAAATGCTTTGACAAAGCTTTCTGAAGAAGTTTCTTTAGCTTTAGAAAACGTAATTGAATTTTCATTTCCAAACTATTACATTAACACCTTGGAAATTTCTAAATGCGACGAAAGACGCATTTGGTGTTTTCTAATGAGCAGAATAAAGTAAAATTGTTTGTTTCGTTTTGAACTCGAGTTTTTAGCTATGGATAGCATTAAACATTTCAGACAAGCGAAAAGTGTTTCAATTCAATGGCATTCTAACGTTGAACGGTTGAAAGGCGAACTCTTCAATGTGGAAAACGCAGTTTCATTGTTTGAGTTAAAAGCACTGAAACGCTTCAACGAGGTCTAATATCCAGCAAAGCAATCCATCCAAGTTCAAAGTCTTTTATTCGTCAAAAGCACGACTTATTTGAATCATTTATATGTACACTTTCTCTCCTAAAAATCAATCCTAGTGATAGCTAAATCCTTCAGAGTGTCAACTGCATAGACTTTCAAATTGATTTTCTTTAGAGTTCACTTCAAGTATTGATTCTTCAGTGCCGCTTGTCCAGAAATATTCTTTATTGTCTTTGTATATAAACATTACTACTTGGTTTGATAAAAGGAAAATAGAGGACAAAACGAGCAAGGATACCATGTGGGGTCGTAATAATTATAAGTATTTCTTGGTGAGACAGAAATCGGCATGACATTTTCGTAATCAAACTCCAAACAAAACTATTAGCTCTCTAGAATTAACGATAAACTTGGAGTGCAGAGAGAAGAGATCAAGATAATTCGAGCAAGCATGAACAGAACAACCCCTTTTGACCCAATCAATTTTGTACTAAATAAATAGGTGTAAATATGGTCAGTAAACACACCAAGAGTTCTACGACATTCTTAACATTATCAAATATCTTAAACCCACAGATTTGTACAGTTGGACTGAGTCCGTGAACGACTTAGTGAAGTGATGTATTTCCTGTAATCAGCAGCAAATAAAATCGGTCCCAAATATTTCTATGTACAATAGTACTCATTTTCAAAGATGATTTGTCTTATCTACACTAATAAAGCTTGTTTTGCAAGCTTGATTTCCTCTCATTTGGAAAGAGTTTCAATTTAGTTTTTTTCACAGGTTTTTGGTCTTACTTCTTTGAGAGTACGACTTTGCGGTCATGGGTCCATAGTGATTCAAAGCACCACCAGTAATATCTCTGATTCAACTGTCGTGATGCAGTCCATGCCACCACCTGGCTGGCTTTCGTGCAACAAGCTTACCAAACAAGCTATATCTTTAGAGTTTTTGAAGAATTCCATAGTTCTTCCTATACGAGCGAACTCATAGACGGCCGTAATGGGTGTGCAAATAGATGCGGAAAACTTGGAGCATATTGCATGCTAGCGTATGGGTGATGATAGAATGGATAAGGTGTATGTGGATGCTCTGAACGGCTTTGGTCGTGGTACAGTATAGGTACTCGAACCATTCGATGCTGGTTTGCTTGCGCTAACGTCGCAGCTTCCATTTCTGCAGCAATTTGTCTTTTCCACTTATTTCTTCTGTTTTGAAACCATATCTTTACCTGTGTTTCCGTGAGATGTAATTGTGCCGCTAGACCAGCTCGCTCTGAAGACGACAGATATCTCTTCATGTCAAATGTTGACTCGAGCTGATAGACTTGACTTCGCGAGAACACTGTTCTTGTTTTCTTTTTCCTTCTTTTTTTACTATCGTCCTTTTTATCGTCGTGAAGCTGAAGATCCTTCTCTGAGTTTCCTGAATAATAACCCAGTAATTGTTTTGTGAGAAATCATAAGTTATATTATCTTGACCCCTTGTTATGTACAAGAAGCGTGCCCTTCCACAAAGCTTCCGTAGTTTTACCCAACCAGGGTTGATTGTAGTGGTAAAAAGAACAAATATAAGTACAGTTTTAAACAACCACAGTGTCAACTTCACAAAAGGTATCAAGCCTATGTGTAGAAACTATGTACTTACGATCAAAGTCTGTGAGAGATTTATCGGGGCTTCGTCCAGTAGATTCTGTTTCCCAGTCGTAAATGTCTACATGAGTTGGAGTTTTACGGTCCGAATGGATTTCCCCGAGAGGATAACTACTTCCAACGGTACCCTTTTCGTCTGCTACTTCAGCCTTGTCCTTATCTCGCTCATTTTCGCTCGTAGTGGTAAATTCTCTTTTTTCATTACCTCTTGAGCTGTGTGAGCTTAAAATATTTGAAATAGAGAAAGGGTTTGTGCGTGTCTTCTCATCCATACTTCCTGCAAGACGTCTTGATTTAATGAGCTCTGAATGTTTTCGTATTTTGAAATGAAGGAGTAATTTCAGGAGCCTAAGAAAAGGCAAACAAAGACCGTTTGTGTAAGTCTCAATGCGCTCGCGGCATAAGTGGCGACGTTTTAAGTCGGTGATAATGATCGCGAATAAAAATGTCAAACTTGTTAAACGGTTGACATGCTAAAACTCAACAGTGATTGGTTCTCCAATAAGTCTAATGGAACCGTGAGAAAGCCAAAATGTACTTCCCCGCCTACTTCTTTACAAACAACCGGGAAAAACGATAAAAACTTGCTGCGATTGGCTAGTCGTCACTATCAATTAGCCTCAGACACGTTGCCATTCTAAATGTGTTCATGTTTAGCCTTTTTCAATTGGCCAAACGGTATACAATTCAGCAATTACGCGCCTAATGTTGAGTTACAATCGTCAAATCCTTTGCCCTGATGCCCTTATTCTCGCACGAAGTAAGGCATTTGTTTATGCCTTGTCAAAGCAGCCAAGATATTCTTAGCTATCTCTTAATAATCAATAGTGTGTTTTACGCCTTTGGCTGGTTCTCGCACGCCCCTTTTTGTATTTCGATAAAAGAAAGTTAAAATTCAAAGCGAATTTATCTTACGCTTATCGTACTCTTAACACTGTAAAACTCTTACAAGCCTGGGTATGTTGTGAAATCGATGCCATGACTTTGTGGGCAAAGAAGCAGCTTGGTTTCATGAACCATTTGCAAGGGAGAAATTTCCATAACAAGGTAATGATTGACATGTTAGGATTCACATAACTAAGGGGTTTACTGACCACCACGGTTTCGTCTAGAGTCAAGAAAAATAAATCGATACACATTGCCCAGAGAATGCATAGAAACACGACCATAGGTCTTGTGCTAAAAATGAGTTTTATTGATGTTTTGATCGGAGTCCTAATGTTTTCTTGCTGTTTTTAATCATTCTTGGGGTTTTTTCCCAATCAAAATTGGGATGATGACAAGTTGATTGGCTTAAGTGACTACAGATGTCGGTCTAATGAGATGGTAATGAGTCGAAAAGCCATTGGTGAATTGCATTCCTCGCCGAGCCGTTTGGCTTAAGAGGTATTAAGTCATTATCACTGACAGTCGAGAGTTGAGTTGATTGATGAATGACCGATTGAAGTGGTTTGAACAACAATTGGCCGAGCCAACCGGAGAATAGGATGACTGAAAGTGCCTATCATGGCTTTGGCGTCCGCTTTCTTCTAAGAATTACCACTTAAAGAATTATTTACATCATCCGCTAAGCAAGTAAAATTGCTCTTAATGAGCGACATTCAAAATACTCAGAAGTCTCTATAGTGCAGATACAATATGTTTGTGGTAAGGTCTTTGTTCTTGTTTTGTCACAGGTATTTGCGATCACTTGTAAATCCACTGCAGGAGGTTTTTTTTTTTTCTGTCAAAGAGACTTCGAAACGTGTCGATTACTTGATTGCGTTCTTTGGACAGTGTAAATATATCTATGTTCCTCATTTGTTTGTTTATTGACTTTTCAATACAAATTTGAGTGGATTGGAAGAGTTTAATATAGCCTTTATATAAAGAACAGCTTTATGATCCACAATAAAAATACGATTGAATGACCAAGCAGGCGTGTAAGTTAAGAGTGGCGGTCGTTCTGCTTTTACAGCTTTTACTTAAGAGACAATATGCGGCTTTTATTGACAGATAAATGCTTTTCAAAACAATCTAATGTTTGTGCTCTTCCAAAGGTTGATAGCGATTTTCAAATATATCAACATTACCAAACCCTCCAACATTGTGACCACTGTACCTCCCCTTTATAATATCTATCCAATACATTCGTTTATTCAACGCCATTAGGTTTTTCACGAGGCAGAGGATGTGAAGATCAAATGATAAGGAAATCTGTCTAAAATAAGTAGTGATAGCAGGGAGAGCAAATTTAGCTAAGCAATTTGTTTTTGATCAGTCGGACACTGTGAAATACTTTGTATTGTTTGGGGTTCTTGGCTCGGTGAACATTGCTAAAGCTTTTTTTATTCCTGAGCTGATGAAAAAGATAAGAAAAGTCTTTGACTTCAGAGATTGTATGTGAGCACGCACATGACACGATATAGAAAGCCAATATTGCATATTCTAGTGATTGTTTGGAACTTTATCTTCGAACTCAATTTGCGATATTCGACCGAGATGATCTTTCTAAGAAGTCTTCAGTGAATGGACAAGATAACTACAGCAGGATAAGAAGAAAAGGAGCTCAGAAGTGATCAAGTCGAAGCGTGAGAGAGAAAGGGAGAAAGATGGATATATATATATTTGAAACACCATTCCAAAGTTTTTAGGGGTTCAATTGCAAACGAATCACACACCTGGTTAAAAACTTATTACATCAATCACTTAAGGCCGTTCTGAGATTAAAGCAAACAAATCGATTGCCTAGAAAGCCCCTAAGTGTCTTAAAAGAGGTTGATGTGAAATAGCGGTTATTAGTTCAGCCATCCGTCTTCGAATAGCTTTTAAAGCAATTAAAACTAAAAGTAATAAAGAGCTTTTCCCTTCGTTCTTATTTCCCTTGGCAGTGAAGATCAATTTATCAGGTCGGGGGATGGATGACAGGCAATGATTTCGGTGTTTTGAATAACTCTTCAGGCAAGACCAAAACAACAAGCGAAAGTGTATCGATACAATCGTGTTATTTTCTTTTAAACGCAAAGCTCAGAATCAAATTTATGTGGGCTGATTTCTAATCGAAGAAAATCCCTCCCACAACACTCGAGGGGGAAAATGTAAAACTTCTCATCAGTTTTCGTGGCATTTCAATCTACCAATATCGTCTCAGCCTCATAATTTTATTAAGACTCGATCATTGACCAATTTTCGAGGAGCCAAGTGAAAGGAAAGGACAAATCAACAGTGTTTTAGGTGTTTCTAATTTAACCTGATTATTTCCTCACTGCGCTTAATGGTTGTTGTGTAGTCCTTATCAGCACTAGTGATTTTTATTGCAAATGGCTATCATTAAGACGAGTGTGTTGGCGCCACGCTAGCTGCTCACCACAAAGAAGTAATGACGACTGGCTCTATACTTATCACTTTACACGATAAACATAAATATATTGTCTCTGCTCCTCCCATCATGGTTAATCATTCAAACTTAGACGTATTGTTTTCATTTCAAAACAACTCATGAATTGAGACAAACGGGCCGTTGACTTCCAATTGAATGCGAGAAATCGAGATGTATTTCCTTGGTAGAGTTTATGCCGCTAGAACACAGGAACTATTAGGCACTTAACATTTCAACGGCCATAATTTTGAAGGGTTTTTTTTGTATCAAAACACGTTCTTCTGACGAAAGGGTACATTTCTAGGTTACGGAACGATTACTTGACTCAACCGTCGATCAATTGAGTCAACCGAGTTATCAATTAAAATATTGCCCCAATGTCTTCACTTTCTCTCTATGATTTCAAATGCTCAGATGTTTAAATGTCGAGAGGTTTTTTGATTTTTTGTAGTAGTTTTAAGAGACCTGGATAGGTAAAAAGTAATATCTCAAAGGAAAAACCGTCAAGATAGTTCACTTATCCTCATAACACAGAAAAATGATAACAGTTCGCACTCAGTCCTAATAATCGCTCCAGGCTATGTTTTGACGTTTTCCTGAAAGCCATTCCCATAAATTAATGCTTCTAGACAGGTCTGCTTTTATTGATTTGACCGCGAGAGGATGTGTACCTACTCAACCGTTTTTCGAAAAGGACAACATTTTTGACTCAAAAGCTTTAGCTATAAATTTTCAAACTCTTCGGTTATTGTACAAGTAAACAAAATTGAACTCGAGTTCATTATGAATAAAACTGATAATAAAAAAACAAATAGACTGGAAAACGAGTCTTTATATTCTCGGTTAAGAATATTTTTATGGCCATTTTTCTAAATGGAGGGCAATTATATCGCAGCAGGGTTCACACACGATCTCATTGTTTAGTTGTTTGATGGWAATTCTCTTGATGTAACTATGATTTGGAGGTGTTAGCAAGCTTAAACGACTGCACCTCCCTTACTAAACGAAATAAATTGAAGTGTAAACAGAAAGAGTGCCCATGAACGGGTTGATAAAAGAATCAGCTGCCACAGAAGCAGAGAGTCGCTCCTCGGAAGGACAATAGAGGCTTCTGATGAAGCAATCGACCAGAACCATTCTGATAAAAAAAGCTTTGGCTTTGCTATTCCATTGTATAAAAGTACCACCCATATTCAATAAGCGATTAGAAATCCATATTGATCAGTTAAGACAGCAATTTAAATATAATTAGATGATTTATTTACCTAGCAAGTAAACATTCATGAGAAACTCGGCAAATAGACCCTAAATTATGACATGAAGAAAGAGCCACCATTGGTACTTGGAATACAATGGCGTGTTTCTACAAATTCACTGGTTTTTGAGAGCCTCTATATAGTATATTCATCCACAATATTGCCTCAAGCGCTCTTCACTTACGCAATTAACATTAATGTCCAAATGGAAAGGAACGAATCTAACTTGTGATTAAATGGAAGGAGAGATATACCCATCACTGTATTCCACCTGTATTTCTCAGGCCAGGGCTACAGTTTTTAGGTGATTGGATTACGATCAGGTGTGAAACAGTCAATAATCAATTTAAGAAATCTCGCCCAGGATATTAGGGCACCAAAACCTTAGTAGTTATTTTTAGGTGTCTTTTATAGGATTCGTGTTGTAAGGTTGCACTAGGACCGATTTGAGCGCCCGCCCGTACATGCTCTATGAAGCATCTATGCGCGCCTGACAAGATAGTGCACGTAGATTCTAAAGAGCCGTGTTCTCAGCCTAAAAGGCTGTCAACAATGGATCCATTTCAGCTCGTTGAACGCAACTTCGTAAACAAAGCTTTAGGGATTAGCGAATTCAATAACGACAATTCTCTATTCATAGGACGGCCTCTCACTAAAGTAATGCATAGATCCTTTGAATTGACGAGTGCAATTTAGAGCTTAACAACCTTCAAAGACTCGCAACCATAATAAAATTGATTTTGGCTTTGAAGGAATTACTTTCATTGTAAAGGAAAAACGATTCATCAACTCGAGCGAGGCTGTTTACAAGTATTTTTAATTGTGACAGTACAGAGGCGGTAAAAAAATTGCCCATATT